ATTCGCCCCACCAGAGAGCAGCGATTCAAGGTATATTACTTAATTGGTTGACTTATTGTTTCATATTCTATTTTAATGTTGGGTTTCCTTTGCAGACGATTATTGAGCTGTCGGAACGGGGTGGCATTGGCTTTGAGCCCGCTTCCTTCTGTTCGGGTTGCCTAGTGCGTCGGCCAATACGCTCCAAGCACTGCTCCGTGTGCGATCGTTGTGTGGCACGTTTCGATCATCACTGCCCCTGGGTAGGAAACTGTATCGGTCTCAAGAATCATAGTTACTTCATGGGATTTCTCTGGATGCTGTTGATCATGTGCGTCTGGATGCTGTACGGTGGTTCCAAGTTCTATGTGAACGAGTGTAATGTGCACTTTGACGGTAAGTGTGCTATTTATTTGCCAAGTCTCCGTTTTAGTAACAAATGACTAATTTCATTTTGATAGATTTTCTTACCGCCATGCGAGCTATTGGCAATTGCAATGCTTGGGTGGGCTGGGTCATGGGTAATGCACTATTGCACATGTCTTGGGTCATACTGCTGACAGTTTGCCAAACGTATCAAGTGATTTGCTTGGGGATGACTACCAACGAGCGCATGAATCGTGGTCGATATCGCCACTTCCAGGCCAAGGGTGGACACAGCCCATTTACGCGTGGACCGCTACTTAATTTAGTTGACTTTCTGGATTGCAATTGCTTTGGCTTAGTGCAGCCGCGTCGCGTGGATTGGATGAATTACTATGACTACGATGCGCAGGTGCATCAGACAATTGAGAAGGAACCGCTGCTGCGCACCGACTGTGCCGATGCCGATGGACTGGCCGGGGATCATCAGTACGTGTAGGATAAATCCTATCGGGATGCGAAGACGCTTCAAATGCCCATTGCGCATGTCTAACGTTTCATGTGCTAAAAAGACAATGCTTTAGATATGCCCACCCGATTAGCTCCGTATTATTTCTAGTGATTTGTAATTGGAACGCGCTGCTGCAAACACAATGATTTAACAACAACTAAAAAAAACAACAACAAAAGACAGAAGCGTCGTCGCTGACCGATATCGGATCCAGCAAAATAGGCATTTATGCCACCCACACACATACACACAAACACACACACAACCACACACACAACCACACTCACAACCACACACACACACATGAGTACATATAGTGTGAATGTATTTTATCTGTAATTACAAAGCTCTGTACATTTTTCTACATAATTTTTAATTTAACTGAAACACGAAAAACACACTTTTTTTGTTACTCTGAAGTATTTGTTATACCAAAAAAAAAAAGTAAAAACACCTGCACCGAACAAAATGTGCAACATCAATCGCAACAAAATCAAAAAAAAAAAAAGAGATAGTTAAAAGGCGTGCAATATTTAAATTTTCAATACACACACTTCAAACTCAATGATTAAGAACTTTCTAAAAAAGCGCACAATAAAAGCAAAGTACGAAACTTTCACATTTGTATTCTAAATTATGTGTATTCTAAAAGCAAGATTATAGTAACTATACAAAAAAAAATAAAATAATAGCAGATGCCTTTGTGTTAGCTTGAATCCGCATAACAATGAGATTAGGTATCCAAGCTATTGTTAAAAGAAAAACCAAAAAGAACAAACACCAAACAAATACTTTAAATGTCTAAGCGAAATTATATGGCAGCCAAGCGACTTGCATACTTAAAGAAAACCAATTCTAAATGCGATCCGATTCAATACGCACTAGTCTAGTCAGCAATCATTTAAGTCAAATGTTATAGTGTAACAACAAACGTCGACATTTAAACAATATTGCATATTAAAATATATACATGCTATATATACATATTTATATATTAACAAATATATACATATTATATACATATAGTTATGAAATTATGTACACCTACGATCGAGTATCAATGAAGGAATTTCTTACAGTGCAACAACCTGACAAACATGTAGCTAAAAAATGAATAATAAATAATGTAACACGTTACTTAAATGCATTTAAATTTAAATAACAAATTGAATATATGAAGTATAGATCACCTAAAGAACAATTTCTAAATAAACTAAATAAATATATGTGTATGTATCTAAATAACTCAAAACTTTTCGATGTATTTTGTATTTGAGATTATACAAAGAAAGAAAAAAAGGCGATAAAGCGTAATTTTCACTCTGCGGTTTGCTACAAAGTTATTTGTTAAAACATTTTTATAATTCTTTTGCTTGCCCCGTTGAGATGCAATTGACAAACGCTTTCAGAAGACTACAAAGGAAATGTAATAAAATGTGTGAAAAAAAAAAAACAAACAAATCAATTGCCCATGTCTTAAGTTTATCCACTAAGTTCAAGACAAAATATGTGTATTAAATAGTATGTAGAGCGAAATGCGAGGTGTATGTAACAATGTGCGTTAAAATTTAAAAATAAATAGTACTTTATTCCAAATTCGAAAACAATAGCTAATGTGTGTTTAGTTTTTAGTTTTACTATATAATAAGAATTTGAGAAACTTACAGAGAAGATTTCCCAGCGTGATGAACATTCGAAATGTAATTGGATTTGAACATGATGAACATTCGAAATGTAATTGGATTTGTTTTAATCTTGCGGCAGTTTACTTTATTTACTTAGTTTCACAATTGGCATTAGTTAAAAACTTCACACACAAAACCAATAAATGAGTTTAGTAAAAATCAAATTTATTTGGGTTTTAATTTTTTTTGTTTGTTTGTTTTATTTTTTGTTGACATAATATTTTGTAGATTTAAGTTGATTTGTTTTGTTTTTTGTTTTTTTTTTTTTTTTCGACATTTATGCGTTACATTTATAGGCTCGTTTTAAAAATAGAATTTTTAACTTTATGATAAATTAAGTTTTGCTCGGTTTTTGTTTTATACTTTTTTATTATTATTGTTTTTTTTTTTGTTTTGTTATTTAATGTAAAACAGTTAAATATATGTATTATTAAAATACATTATCATTATCGCATTTTATACTTAAATTTTGCTTGTTATTAGTTGCTAACGTTTATTACAATTTTAGCAGCAGGTGTAAATGATATACAATATTATGAAATATCCATTTTTTGTTTTGTTTAAGTATGCCCTATGGTCAATTTTCTTGCTTCCATGCAAATTATATGATGAGAATGTAGCGCGTTTACAACGTGCAGAATTTTGTATTGTTATCAGTTAAAGTATATATAAAAAAGCCTATGCACTAGAAATGTTTGCAAAAACTAGTTGAGAATTAGAGTGTGTAGAAACATGACAGAAACATGTCGTACGATCGGAAAGCCCTGACGGCACTGGTCGGTGTGTTCACGTTGTGGGTAGCGTTAGCGTCTTTTCTTCTACTTTTTTTAACGGTAGTCGCATCAATATACATACATATATTTATATACTTATGCATATATAAATATATATACATAGATATATATTATATTTAGGTGGGTTGCGGCGTGGCCAGCTTGAGCTCAATATAAGTGTTTCTTACGAGAATATACATATATATGTATATATATATATATGCCGTTAGTTGTATTCTATTATTTACTTGGTCGGAGTTAGAATGGTATTGAACTGCCTGCACAGAAAACACGAAACATGTCCGCACGTTAGCATTGGGTAGAAGGGTTTAAAGAGTTAGATATATAGAAGATGAAATATTGCAATGCGTTTCATAAGCGCACTTGTTAAAGGAAAAGCAAATTAAATATAAATGTTTAAGTGTATATGATTTGCCTTTTAGATATATATATATAAAGCTAAAAAGCCCGCTAAAAAAAAAATAGAGCTGCGTTTACACGCAACCCAACATCAAGAATCTCAATTGATTGATTTTTGTGTTCTTCATGTTTTCAAGGAACTTAAGCTCACAAATTTGATTTGATACCCTAACACGGTCGATATTTTGTATTTCAAGTTGATGGATATGTTTTGTGCATATTTTCATTTATGTGAGAAACCGTTAATTGTGCTTTTAGATTATTGCGAATTCGAGAATACATGATATTGAGAAACGTATAAACGCAGCGCCCTTTTTTATTTTGCCCTTTAAGCAGCTAACTGCGTGCATGCCGCAGACTTTGGATGCCCAACAAGTGGCATACGATTCAATTGGTATTTAATTTATAAATTGATGCTAAAACAAATTGAAATAATTGTAGCATTCGTGTGTGTATGTGTTTGCCCTTGTTGGGCATGATATAAATTAAACTACGTTTATGGCAAGCTTCGTATGCGTGATTAGCCATGCGGCAGAAAATGTTGCTTACAATTTTTGGACTTTTAACGGAAAATCACGAATAGGAAACAAGCGCATAAACGTGGTAATAAATTTACGAAATATTTATACATGCCTTAGCTTAAGCAAAGTGGTGTATACATACGCCTAATCTATATATATATATATATATATATATCATTATTATATATAAGATGTATATATAAATTTTTGTAGTACACGTAAATTGATTTCTTTTTCTTTAAGTATGTGTTTTTTTTTGTTTTTCGCTTTAATAAAAAATATATATAAATATATGCTATTTTGAATTTGATTTTATCTCTCTGCCCATATGTATAGTTATTCTTTTTATTTTTTCATTTTTTTTTTGTTGGTTTTTTTTTTTCTTTTTGTTAGCTGTTTTATATCTTTTAGCTTGCTTAGTTTTTCCCCTTGCTATTATTTTTTGTTAAATATACGCACTTAAAATATGTATATATATATATATATGGTGTATATAAAAGTTCAATGATTATTAGTTATACATAGGTATTTATGTATGTTTGCTTTTGTTTTTAAATATTAGAAGTGGGTAGAATACCCAGTACAATGGGTAAGCGTGGCGTATCTTTGCTTTCGTTTATAAAAATTACACACGCACGCACATATGTAAAAAACAAATAACAAAGCAAAGAGCCAAAAAAAAATCAAATAAGATAAAATAAATAACAAATGTGCTTTGTAAATAGTATTAAAAAATAAAAACTTGAGCTTATACTAGGAAGGGTTACAAAGCAATGCCATAAAGAGGATTGTTTGCATTTTTTATATAAGTGTAGCAATGTTTTTATTGTTATTGTAGTTGGCGTGTGTGTGTGTGTGTGTGTGTGTAGGGTTTGTGTGTGTGTGTCGGCGCATAGTTATGTATTGTTTTGCAGGCTTTGCTTGTTTGCTTTTGCTTGGTCTCATAATATGTATAAATTTTATCATATATTTATAAACATTAATTCCCACTGATGTTACGTCTTCTGCAGCAGCTCGCTCTGTGGGCTGGGCGGACTGGACAGCTGCAGTTGCTGCTGCTGCTGCTGCGGCTGCTGTTGTGCAGCATTCAGCATGGTCGGTGCAGACAGCGTGCTCGCCTGTGTAATAACTGTTGTGGCAGAGATGGTCTGTTGCTGTTGCTGCTGTTGCTGGTGCTGCTGCGGCGACTGCTGCAGCTCGTGCGTTTGATTGTTCAGCGGCTGGTTCGAATTGCAGAGCACCGAATAGACGGAATCAACTTTGCTTAGCTTCTCAAAGAGCGGTATCAGCTCGCGCAGTTCACAGTCGGTGACATCGTCGAACCAGGACTTGACAGGAACCTGTCAAACGCAATTAAAGAAAATATAAAATATTAAGTGCTGATTTCTATATTCTCTGCATTACTTACTGCATTATCGGGATGAAATATATAACTGGCCGGTGAATTATCAACGATGACAATCTTTTGTAAATCCCTTCCCAAACGATTTAGATCTTTTATGTAATTACCCCTGTAATAAACGCACGATTCCCTAAAGAGTCTTGCACGAAACACATTCCATCTGCAATTGTAGAATGAAATTAATTAAGATCAGTTATTAGTTATGAAGGAATATATATTTGTACCGTCTACTTATATATATCTTATTGATATATGATATTACTTACTTGTCTAGCAGATCCGCAACGGGATCTGCGTATTTGGCTAGTGATGCTGTAAACAGAACGCACTCGTAAAGTTCACCCATCTTTTGTAGAAACTCGTCGACATGCGGTCGCTTTAGCACATAAACCTGATGAATGGTGCCATCGATTTCTACAGGCACTATGAAATCGGCATTAGGTATAGGCTGTAAGGGTAAAGATGTATATCAGTTATCATACGAAGTAGTTGTGATAATGCTTCGATCTGTCTGCATACCTTAAAACTACTGTGCACTAGAGTTTCGTCCAAATCGATGACCATGCACTTTCTATGCATATCGGAGTGCCTAACCTGAGGTAGTAGGTACCTTTGTTGGTCCGGTAAGGGTGGCGGTGTTGTTGAACCATCGATCTGTGTGCCATTCTGATTTGTTTTCGTTCGATTTCGACGCCAGCAGCAAAGTAACGATTGTAGTATTCCCCGTTTTTGTGGCTTTAAACGATCCACATCTTCTAAAAGAAATATAATCTTTTATTAAGATAAATATGTATATATATATATATCTATATAAAGAATCGAGATTAGAGAACTAGGTTTGTCAGTTGGGGTATAGGAATACAAAACTGACCAGAACTCAGTTAAGCCAAAAGATTAACTGAACTAATCCCTAGCTAAACTTAAAAAATACATTTATTTCCTATTGAAATCGTTTAACGCTGACAAATCGGAATTCCATGCCCTACGGCTTATAAAGAGAATGCCTACACTTGCGGTTAGAAGTTGACCACATGAGATTAAAGTAAACAAACTTTTGAATGAATTGATGTTTATGGAATGTACATTGATTATTTCAATTGAATATAAAAATGTGATATTTTATATATGTAAGAATATATATATATAAGAAAGGAATTCACAAGCAGCGAATGCTCGGCTGAAAGATGAAATATGATACCTGGACAATAAACTGTTGTTCAAGCATTGCATTGCTTTGGCATATTGTATAATCATATTCATATCAGATTTGCTTTTTAAAAACTTCTAAAGTTTGCGTATTGTATTGATATATAACCAGGCTTTGAATTCCAGCATTTGATATTTAAGTCCCCATCTCTCTCCACATTTACTCTCTCAGTTCCTATGGATCCTATGGATATATGGATCGCCTTTCTATCCGATTCTCATTAGTTCAAGCAACGCTAACATCTTATTAACAGAATGTATGTTTTTAATGTTAACTTCGGACTGTTAAGTATTTATATGTTTCTACGTTTCGTGTTTTTACAGCGAATATGTCATAAATAAATGCCATATTTTGGTTTCATTTATTGTCATTTGCATTTCACCATTTCCGCCCACTGACCAAATACGCCCTTAAAATAACGAAATGTTGAATTTAACGCATTACTAAATAAATATATATAATGGTGTATATAAATATGGAATTATACATGTAAATAGCTTTTCATATGTGGCTTTTTTTTGATATGTGAATATTTCTCAATATGGAAAACTCAAATGAAATGAAATGTGAAAAGGAAAAACCCACAACAGCAAACACGCTAGGGAGGGTCGGGGCGGTATTTGGGGGACTGTGTTGTCGCAAATTTAGCATACATGCATGCGTTTAATCGATGGTAAATGCTATAATTGCATACACACACACACACAGACAGTTACAAGAGACACGCACAGGTAGGAAGGTCGCCGGTTGACCTTTAAGCCCTGCTGCTTGCTGGTCGGCGCCTCAGGTGCGGCCCCAAAGAGAGCGTTAAACCAACCAACAACTTTACAGCTCCTTCTTGTGGCCATTGTTGTTGCTGTTGTGGGGAACAAAGGAAATAAGCTTGCAACAGCACTTGACTTGGGCAAAACATGAATGAAGTGCATGTTGCATGTTGCATGTTGCACGTTGCGAATTGTTGGCCAAGCAGGATTGCAGCAGCTAAGCCAGACATTAGCATGGTTCAATGAACCGTTAGCTAGCGTAAACAGAGCTTGCAGCAAGCACCGTTAACAGCGCCCCCCCAGCAGCCCTCGGGCTAGGCGACATTCTGAAGTGCAGCTGCACTTGAATATTTGATGAGCGGCGACGTCTTCACAACAAGCATGAAAGCAATGAAAGCCCAGACGACAACGACAACAATAACGAGTTGAAAGCGTAATGGAAGCACGCACTCACACATTGATTATTAGCCAGGTGAAAGGTGAAACGACCCCCCCCTTAAAGTAGGTCCACACTAGAGCTGGCTCCGCGTGCCCCGCTCACGAGCACGAAACATAAAGGCACTATATAGCTCGTATATCAGAGCTATATCTGCAGAACGCAGCCAATCTCACTTCTGTGTCTAAGAATTAAAGGAAACGACAAAAGCTTAGGCCTTTTTCGTGTCAGTGGGCCAGTTAGGTCGTGTCACGCGCCCATCTCTAGACGGCACTCCAAATGCATAACATTTTACATAACTTTGCATAAAAGTCAGTGCGAGTCGTTGTCAATTTGTCGCCTACTTGTTGAACTGACATCGACAGCATTTGGTCCTTATAAATATATTGATAGGCCGCCGACACACACACACACACACACACACACACACACACACACATACACACACACATACTATATATATATATATATGTAGCCAAGAATATGCCATATCTATATTTAGGTTTGTGGGCTCTGCTCTTAACAGATGCGCACGCCCACCGAGCGGGGTATGCGGTGCGCGCACTCAAGCGCAGCCTCCTACCACCCACCCTCCCCCCCTCGCTGTGGCCCACAACAAACAAGCTCACTCAAATAGGCTTTTGTCCTATTTTTAAGGCTTTAAATTGAATTATTGACTTGCTGGCTCTGTGCCTGGGCGTTTTTTTATTTGTGCTATTTTCTACACTTTTTTTCATTTTGTCCACATTTATAGCTACATTTTGTGAGCACAATTTGTCGATCATATTTAAATAGACACCAAATTTGGCAGGCAGTTGACCGTAATAATCGCAAATAACGCAATCCGTGGGCAGGTACATCAAATATGAAATACCACAATCACGAATTTCGTGCTGTTTTTTTGTGTTTTTTTGTTTTCAATAAGTGGCACATTTTAAAGTCCTAAGCATTATTTCGAAATAACTTTAGATCTTAAAAAATAAAAAAAAAAGAAACATAAAAGGTTCTTCAGTTACATGCAGTGTATACCCTGTAAAGTTGGAAATGTACATAAATTAAAAATGCAAAGTTCTCAATTTACATTCAACGTAGATGTATACCCTGTAAATAAAAATTCTATATAAATGTATACCCTGTCAAATTGGAAAAGTACATAAATTATATATAAAAAGTTTGTCATTCCATATACCCTGTATACCCTGTCAAGTTGGAAAACTGCATTAATTTAATACATAAAGCTCTACTCTAAAAGTGCATTCCACATGAATGTATACCCTGTAAAGTTGGCAAGTTAGGGTAACAGGCAGAAATAGGGCTATGCATCATAAAGCTTTAATCAGTATCCACAGCCCAGTTAATTTTGCCAATTTTGTCAATCTGGCCATGAAATTCTATCATTATCAGAGACTCTTAATGCTAAAAATCCAATTAATATTGCATATTTTTTAACTGCTTTTCTTTAAATTCTATGTAATTTTGAGGGCCTCCAAATCTCGTCATTTGACATTTGATGTAGGCTAGAGAAATGTTTCTTCTTGTCTCCCACAATTTGTTTCTCACTCTCTTTTCTGTCATTTGCAACGCTCATTTGCTCTCTTTAAACATCATCTAAAAACTCTTTAATATTGATTTATATCAATTATTTAGATTCTACATTTGAATTGAACATTTCTATCAAACGTCTGCAAAACAAATTTCGCACAATTTCTTATAAATAATCAAGAAACAGAACGATTTGATATAATTAAATATTGAGTTAAAGATTCTTTAAGTACGTTTCCAGTTCAAGCATTCGAATTTTTCTTTAACCAGTTCCACTTGATGTATGTTCAATGTATTTGTTTATATATACATGTAGCTAACACAAAACGGCAGCTGTCTGCATCTGTAACCTTTTTGCAAAATCGTGCACACAATTAAATAGAAGATTTATGTAACAAAACGAGCACACAAATGGCCAAAGAGTGAACCCGACTAGGAGTTACTCTGTATTGTCAGTTGATTTAAATGAAAGTCAAATATTCATAAATATACTCTAAATACCAGATCGTCTGTTTTAGAGGCTTGTCCAGCGGTGCATTCTGCTGCCTGGCCACCGACACATATCCAATATACCCGATCCTGTACAGGGTATTAACAGATCATTTATGCAAATGCGATATCCGCAGCAGACTGTTTAACGGCCTTACGCGTCAATTGGGAAATACACTTTCGCATTTTGAGTTTGGCGACGCGGAATGGCAATGAAAATGACAAGCTTTTCTTTTGTTTTCATCATCATTTTTTTGTTTTTCTTCAATATTATATTTTTAATGTTAATTTTAATTTATATTCTTCGCTTGCCAGCAATACATGCACACAGTGTGTATTGGTGTGCGATTGTGTATTTTGATAATTAATTGAAGGCAAATAAAAGGAAAGCGAATAAAATTCAAGTCGAATAATGGCAAGAGAACGGACCAACTTTAAACATTTCGCTGCCTTATCTAATCGCATTCACAATGTTTGTTATCTACTGGGCATACATATGATATCATAACCAATTCTTTAGCGCTCTGGCCTTAAATGGGCACCAGCTCGACCTTCAACATATTTATGAAGCTTTTGAAAAGTTCACACACACACACAGAGAGAGATAGATTGTCTAAAAATTGTATTGGCGAGCGACCTGTAAACATTTTTTTTTTTTTTTTTTCATTTTTCTTTTCTGTCTGCTCAACTTTGCACGTGATGTTTGCACAAGCTCGGCAAACACCTGCCACAAATGAAAGAGCAGCTCTCCCAGGGGGCCATGCGGAGAGCAAAAGCTGCCGACCCCTTTGTTGCATTTAGACAAAGATGTCGCTTTGGGGGTTGGAATATACAAAACCCCATACAAAGGTCATTGAACGTCAAAGCCGCCCCCCTTTGCTGGTGAATAGAATACAGGCAGGTGCAATAGCTGTTGAATGGATCTAAGAAAGCACCAAAAATAAATAAATTATTGCCTTTTCAGCTATGTATATACATACATATATCAATGTGTAGAAACATATAGGAAATGTTTTGCTACCGAGACCATCAAAATTTTTGCACAGCACGCGGTACGCATTTATGTAGTTTATTTTTCGCATGAACATATGTGAAAATGTTGTATATACACATATATGTATTTCTTTTTAATAATTATGCATCTAGCCTCTTTTACTAACACATATTTAAGTTTTTACGATAGGCATTTTCAAAGCCAAAACAAAATAACGTCAATAAAAAAAATGAAAATCTCAAGCGTTGAAAGAGATTTTGTAATTTGTTCTTATGCAGTTCGCATTCAATAGAAATATTCTTTTAATTAAATAAGTTGTACAGTTTTTTTCTTTAGATATTTAGTAAATACTGCTTTGCATAAAGTTCGAACTCTGAATGCAAATTATTTTCTTCTTTACATAAACAGCTGTTCGCGCTAACTCTCAAGCCGAAAACAGTTATTTTAAACAGTGTTACCCATCGCTTACGTTAAATGCAATTAAATTTAGTTTTTTCTCTCATCTCTCACACACAAGAGAGCAAAAGCAACAAATGCAGCGCGACCTCTTTCGAGCGTATGGACCATGATTTTAGCTTTTTATCCTGATATGTCAACGAAATGACAAAAACATATAAATGAATATTTAAAAACATTTTTATTAAAAAAAATGGTGCCCATACAAATAAACTATATTATAAGAATTGGCAAATAATTTAATTATTTCATTTCGAATTTCTTTTTAAATCAAATATTAAACAAATTATATAAATTTTGTTAACTTTTTCGTCTGTTTTATTAACACCTTTACCTTGACAAATTAGTATATACATACATATGTACATACATAGATTTGTAATAACAATGAAATTGGATTTTATTTGGAAAGGGCAAAATACGCATTTCGTATTTTGTGTCTGCGTGCGCAAGTCATTTAATTTTAAGACCTTGGGAAATTGAAAATCACAGACAATCCCATCGAGAAATGAGATACTAGAGCGTTTGCCCATAAAAAAAAGATATATTATATATATATATACACATATAAATATTTAAAAACGGACGGTCAGGCGTTCAGGCGAATAGACAGCACTTAGGCGGCACCCACACTGAGAAAAAAGAATAAGAAAAAAAACACACACACACACACATACATTTCATCTTTTGCCGGTTCTAATGTTCAGCCCTGTTCTTACACCCACACACGCCAAACGTAGCAATACAGAGAGAGACAGGGTGGCGTTGATGACGTCGCCGCCTTTTATTGTCACAAAGCTCAACAAGTCAAAGAGTGAAAAAATGCCTACGCTACATAAATATGTATGTATGTACATATGTGCATATGTATGTATGTATGCACACGGAAGTGTGTTCCATTATAGATAAATATTTGATTTACAGTTTGAGCTGTATTGGCAGCACTGTCAAAAGCGACTCAAAACCGAACAAACTTATTTAGGCAAGAAACGAGAGATGTCAATTAGCAGCAAACCGCAAAAATTGTGTTGTTTAGTTTTAAACGCTCTGCCATTATATACGTAAATGTGTGTATTTTATATACACAATTATATATGTACATCCACGTATACGCACATACATTTGTGTAAAGTATAGTTGTCGTCTGTTTTTGCGACCGCAGATTAGATTAAATGTTGTTGTTACTTTAAGGCGCAAGTTTCGTCGCGTCTCGTCTCGGCCGGACCCCACCTTGTACTTTGTGCGCTGCTGCTGTTGCAGCACAAATAAAAAAGAAATATAAAAAAACACACATGTGTATACGTAATACGTTTAAATATATATATACACACAGTTATTTAAGCATATAACTGCAAACATACAAACACAAATATGTAAGAGTATGCAACTTTTTTTACTTTTTGCTCTCTTTCTCGACATTAAAACGCGCTCTCTGCAGTTTTCATTCAAGCTTTTTTTTTTTTGTAAGCTACGGTTTGTTAATCGTCTGTTGCTTTGTTTGTTTGTTATTTTCACGAAAACTAGTCGATACCGGTTTCGCCCTCTCCCTGTCGCACTTTTTATCTTTTTTCGTAAATAGTATGCAATTTAATTGCGGTTTCAATTGTTAGGCGTGCTCGTTTTCTCTCTACCTTTCTCTCTTTCTCTCTCTGACAATCCCTAGGACATGGAACGGCAGTTGAAGTAACGCAATTTGTTCTGCCGCTGATTTTGTTGTTCGCGTGCACTTGTCAAGCGCATGACGTCACAGTTGATTACAGGTGGCGCTTTGAGAATTGCAAACTGCGACGTCAGAAGCTAGCAAGTGGTTAGATCATTCACAATAGGCAAGAAAACAGCTGCGCACAAAAATACATACAAACACACACACACACACACACACACACACACACAACACACACTGTGTGCGAGTGAGAGAAAAACAAAAGCCATCAACTGAGCTGGTTTTAGGGTGGGAGCTTGAACAATTTCTAAGGTCAGAAGGGGGGCAGTCCAAACTTTGTGACCACTTGTCCTTTAAGTATTTTTATTTCGTCTTTGTTGTGACGCCGTTTGGACTGTCGCATGAGTCATTGGGCTTACTCTCTCTCTGTCAATGTGTATAGTTGTTGTCTCTTACCTCCTTTGTCGCTTGGATAGACATTCAATTGTTCATCATCGCGGGAAACTTGTGTTATTATTGATGTTGCATCCATTACACAGCGGGTTGCAAGTTGAACGTGTCCTCTGCTTAAATCCAAATAAAGTTTACAGGTCGAAGTTACAAAAACGTTTATTTGTAAATTTAGCTGCACAAAATAATACACATACACATTATTAATACATATTTTTTGCACACATTTTCCTTAGAAAACTTCATGTTTTCTTTATATAGAAACACATTTATATACGCATATGCATGTATGTGTGTAACGCAGACTGCGACGTCGACTGTAACTGCGACTGTTGCCTGTGCCAGACAGTGGAATTTTACAATTACGCTTTGACAGCCTCATTCGTTGGTTTCGTCGTCGCAGAATGCAAATGATTTTCCCTCGCGATATTCACCTTTAGTAGCGTTACATGTAAAAATGCACTTTCGCCTTTCGTTACTTTATTAAAATATAATTAGAAATGTATTAAAAACACAACGAAAATCAACATAAAAACAGTTTCATTTCTTGCACTGGTGTTTGGGCACATTCTTTATTTTTCTTGGCGTCTACTTTTTGCACGCAGCTTCTTGGCGTTTTATTTATAACGCACTCACTCGACACACACAAACAAACGCACACACACACTATCAACACAGTACACAAGCACTGCTATTTGCTTCGTATTTTTTTACACTGTTGCCTATCGTTTTCTTCTTCAGTTTATTTCGATATCGCACTCATTGTGAGTATTAATTAATTATTTAATATTAATTGTATTCAAAATTCCGCGCAAAAAAACAAAACGTGTGTTCTTCGAAAAAAATGTAGCAAGACTGGCGTTAGTGTTGCCACCATGATTGTGTTGAACAAAACAGAGTTGCCACAAATACCTTAACATTTTCTGACATTAACAGCGACTAGGGCTGCAACGGGGTATTCAGTTAACATAATCCATGCTCCACAATTGACTTTGTTTACAATGATCATTCTTTGACTAGTTTCTTTTAAATAATAAAGTACAGAAAAATAGAAATATTGCTTAATAGTTGTGATGAAAGAAATTGAATTTAACAATAACATATTAATAAAAAAACATTAGATATAATTGCACGAGACTCACGAATCTAGTTCGTACGTTCCGACTCGCATAACTTTTCGTTCGTTATGTCAAATGAACTTATTCCGAATAGTCTGCGACAACTTTATTTCGTAGCGTCTCCCAAAAAAGTGTACAAATTGTATCAAGCAGAAAAGGAAATTTAAAATTTGTATACATTAATTCATTAAAAGTGTATCTGGGAGAAAAAATCAGCAGCGTTATAGTCCATAACATCAGTGTGTCCTTACCAACTCGTGTACTAACTCAATTAAAAGCTTAAGACGTACGGCGTACATGTGTTCTTGATTGCAAAAAGAAGGAAAACAACAGTTACTTGTCACATTTGACGCATCACACTCGACAAAGGTAAAAAGTCATATTCCCATATACATACACTTATGTGTGCATGGGTATTTTGCGTAAGTATTAAATCGTAACAATATTTGCACATGAGATTAATACGATTATATTACGCGTCGCTGTCGTTCGCACTATATATTAGCAAGTCTATGTAAATACATACATATGTATGTACATATATGTACATACATGTATGGACATGTGCAAGTGTGCGTTTCATGAAATGCAATTTTGTCGGGCCATTTTCGCTCATTTTTTAAATTCAGTTGTCCTTGTCACGTACACTTGCTTAGTTTAGGTTGCATTATGGCCATATTTGCAATTTACAATTGTATGTACATGATATATAACATTATATCTGATATTTAAAATGTTTTGTCGCAGCACATCATGAGCTCCACTGAAGAAAACAGCCCGGCAACCACGCCGCAGGAGAACGAGTCAACAGCTGAGCAAGCCAATGCCAGGGACTTGGAGAAAATCGAAGAAGAGAAGCTCAAGTCGAAATATCCGAGTGGTGTTCGAGTGCCTGGCGGTCATTCCGCCTTCCTTCAGAAGCGTCTACAGAAGGGCGTAAGTTGGCAGCTCGCTCGTATAGATTAACTAACTCTACATAACCTTTTTGTTTAATTTTTTTTTTTTAGCAAAAATTTTTCGATTCTGGCGATTATCAGATGGCCAAACAGAAGGGCGGCAGTGTTAAGCAGGTGTTTGCCAATAAGGTGACCACCGGCGAGGCCATACCAACGCCCGAAACGGTGCCTGCTCGGAAGACGTCTATTATACAGCCGTGCAACAAGTTCCCAACGACGAGCTAAGCTTTCAGAGATCTATTACACCCACAAGCTACCCTGATGCCCCCCAATGCTCTATACCTAATATTGTAGTCTATTCCTAGATTGGCTGATCTATGTGCACTAAGCCGTTGCGCTGGCGCTCTTTATGCCGAATTGTAAACAATCTATGCAAGTTTTGTTTGGTTTATTCCCAATTACTGCGCATTTTCCTTCCTTATTTTTTTTTCTTTGCTCTAATAACATTTTTCGTAGCTACACCTAGCTTGCGCCAATCTCAAGAACATTGAATGTATTATGGCAGCACGTAACCTTTTAACAGTTCTATTTAACAATATAATATCCTGATTGTATGTAGTTGTAAGTTATTGAAAACGTAATAAACTTAAGATGTAACCAGTTCAGTTCAACATTTTTAAATTTACTGTTCAGAGAATGAATGAAAAAATAAAATCAATGTGAATGAAGATTTAAAAAAATTGCCTTCTCCACTTATTTATTTTAAATTTGAAAACTAACAATCTAATGTCATCCCAGCACAAATACAAATCGATCATTTGCTTCGTTCAAATGCACTCTAGAGATGGGCGCCGCCTGTCAACTGTTTTTTTGTAGATACCCTTTACAAAATCTGCAAGGGTGCTCTCATATATATATATATGTAGCTGTAATAAAATACCAAATGTTAAAACGAGTACCAATTGAACGTATTAGCGCGCATACAAATGTTATCGATATATTTGATGATTAACAGCTACGTAAATATTGTCCATCTCCAAAACATTCAACGCAAAGAACGAGTGCTATTTGTATTTGCAATATTTTTGAATTTTAAATTTTGTTAAATAATATTATTAATTATTTGAATGGAAGCAGCTCGCAATTCCAACGAGAGCGTTTTCAACATAGTCACCAAAATAGCCGAGCTACTGTCGCAGGATGAGCGCGCCCAAGCCGAGCAAGCAGCTGCAGCTGCAGAGATGCCTTCGCCAGCTTCAGTTGCCAATAAACGCACAAAAATCTACGAATCTCTGCTGTCGCCACGTTCGGCGAATCCATCGCCTCCTCGATTGGATAGGCTACCTGAGTGTCAGAAGCTATTGGACGAACAGTGCGCGAATTTAAATTCCACACTAGGCAACGAGATTCCAAGCTGTCTTCTCAACATATGCTCAGCTCAAGAGGAACAAAAACAACAACCAGAGTCATCGAAATCCTGTGTATACTGGCAAAACAAGATTTTGCTGGCCAGGCCGCTAAGACTGCTGCCAAACCCCTGCCAGGATTGGCAATTCCCGGGCAGACCACAGGGCCCACCCCTATTAAGATCGGTGGAAAATATGCGAGACTCAATAAAGCCCATCGAATTTCGCCGGCAGTCCGAGTTTCAGGTGAGCGATCTGGACGTGATGCGCAGTGCCCAAAAGAGCCAGAAGAAAACCATTTTGGCCTGCTCAGTGCTGAAGGACTCCATGTCGCGTATAAATGAATCCAGAAGAGGACCACGACGTGTTAAGATTAACCTGCCGTTGCGGGACAAAGGCCAAGTGTCGGCAAAAGAATCCGATCCTAATAAAGGCTTAACGCTGACCATTACATCTGAGAAGCATTTTGTCACGGATAAGCTTGTAAGCAACGAGCTTAAATGGCACCAGGATCAGACATTGCAATTGATGTATATCAAGCTGCCCCTCCTCATCGATCATCTAAAGCAGGCTGCAGGTGAGCATATTTGCCTTTGCTTTGTTCACTTTATAACCTGGTAATTCTTTCATTGCTTAGCTGGTCTGCAATCTGATACGATTGTCTGCACGGACGACGGCAATTTTATGTTGAAACCACATATCACACTGAGCGTTGTGCTGCCCGAGGTGCTGGCAGAATTTGCGGAACCATTCCTGGCCTCTGGCAGGGCCTATCGGCGACTGAGCGCACGTACTCAATGGCAGCACGCACCAAATCGCATCGAACGTCCTTTGAACCGAGTAAGGCCAGACCGCAAAACATTTAATAAATTCAATGTGCAAGCTCGCTTATTTTCTTTAAAGACCATGCGTCAGGCCATAATAACGTTCCTCACGAATAGCCGACTCTTTTTGCTATCGCTGTCTGTCAACAATTTGCCACAACTGCTGCGCGGCGCAGGTCCCGCCATGGAGATGCTGCAGCAAATGGATCAGATGTTTCAGGCTGAGCCCAGTCGTAAGAGGAAATCACGTCAAGTTTGTTCTACCGCTTAACTAAAAATCCATGTGCAATTTCAGTCAACAACGCCGAAGGCATGAACGGAATGTGCGGAATGAGCCTGCTGAGCTTCGTTTGGTCAGCTATTAATGTGGGCATCAACTGTGAATTTTCCCAATTGCTTATGTACCTGTTGAGGTCGTTGTGCGGCACATACTTCGCCCAGCTGCAGCGTTGGCTTTACCAGGGCGAGCTCGAGGAACCCTTCAATGAGCTTTTCATCAAGTGTTGCCCGCACAAGATGATGCACGAGCGCAGCAAGGAGTTTTTCGACAAGGGCTACTATGTACGGACCGATATAGTGCCTGGCTTTCTGGCGGGCTGCGAACAGGCCATTCTGCAATGCGGCAAGTACAACCGTTTCCTTAAGACTTACAATCCTCAGGTAAGGTTACATGGATACATATTGAAATATATGTGGCTTATAATAATCAGTGGTTGGCTTACAGCATGCGGTTTTCAATTTAAAGTATCCCGACTTGATTGTATGCCTGTCGGAGCAACAGTTAATGAAAATGCGAAAAGAGCTGGAGCTACACTACGAGCAGATACTGCAGAACATCCAGCCATTTAAGATGCAAAGCATCTTAGCGGAACAAACAGAGAGCAGCCGACGCTTTGGTAATCGCATGTGGGACTGCACTCAGTCGCACATTGCTGCCTGGGAGCAGCGCCAGCGTGATTTGCAATTGAAGGCGAACGCAGTGAAACAAAAACGCTATGAAGAGCTTAATGAGCAACGGGAGCAACAGGAACAGTTGCGTATGGAGCAGCGACGTTTGGGACTGGTGTTTGAGCTAGGATACCAGCGAAAGTGCGAACAGCTGGAAGAAATGCGCTTGAAACAGGAGAAGGAGGGTTTGGAAGAGCAAATTGCTGCCTTAAAAAAGGCCACAGCACCGATTCAAATGACCGTCGCGGACACGAGCCCAGACGACAGCACAAGCAGTGGTCGCAGCTATGTTTCTTGCGAGGAATTAGACCCCGAGGAACTGGCGAAGGTTAAGCCAGAGTCAGTCACAACACGCCCCGATCAGGCCGATGTGCTGAACTCGAATGAGACCGATATGGAAATGGCTCGCAATCGTATGCGCAATAATTCCTCTGAACAGTTTCAAGAATGTCAAATGGAAGTACAGCTGCAGAAAGACGTGACGACAACCAGCGTAGGCAACTACACAGAAGTCGAACGAAATAGGATGCGAGTTCTTAATTGTACGGTACAGCGAACTAAATTGCCGCCAGATTTGAACATGAATCTCGAGGATCTCACAGATTTACAGCGCAATCGTCAGCGCATGCAGCAACACAACACGTTCGGCTCATTGAATAGTGAAGAGGATGCGGCCAGTGAGTCCGAGAAGCGTCTACTGCATTCGGACACGGAACTTGCTCGCAATCGCCGCCATGTTATGGAAGGAGACTTCACGATCAGTGGAGGTTTAGGCAATGCCATGCATTTGCCATTGGAGCCGCACAAGCTATGCGTGGAGTCCACGCTTGGTACAGAAACGCCCATGTCCACCACATCCGATGTAGAGATTGAAGTTGATATTCCAAACGAGCTGGTCGATGCGGCCAATAACAACAGTATTAATAGTAGTGCCAACTGTGATACTAATCTCGACAATGAGGATCGGACAGCAGCAGCTGCTGTGGTTGAGCCCGAAGCTGTGGCTTTGAAAAGAGAGCCTGTCTTTAGCTTGCCCACATTGCAATTGGATACGTCGCAGGCAAATGGCGCCGAACAAATACAAAAAATTGGACATAATCCGTTTATAATCAAACGTTATATGCAACTGTCGGTCATGATACCACTTAAATCTCACCTGTCGCTGCTGCGCAACGAGGTTCTGCGCATATTCCACGAGCAACACGTTTTCGAGCATTTTTGCCAGCTACGCAAATATTTCTTCTTGCTAGATGGCGAATTTGGCACACTGCTTATTGTGGGAATCCTGGAGCAAATCGAATCTGGCGTTGTGCCGCACAGCTTATGCCAAAAGGGTGTACTCGACGCCATACTCAACAATGCGCTCATCAACAGAGCGGCCGATGGAACTGGTGCAGCTGTGGTTGCCGATAATCTCGCTTTAAATTGCACGAATATACCGGAGGCGTTTGATCTAATGGACATCAATGTCCTGTCCATATTTAAGCTTGATTGCAAAATGGAATGGCCCCTGAATCTGGTATTCAGCGGGGAAACCATGGACAAGTATGCGCAAATATTCTCACACTTGATAAAGCTGCGACACGTCAGCTTCATAATGGAGCGTGCCTATCTGGACTTTCAGCAATCGTCCAGGCTGCACGGTCGCCCATTGCAGCAGTCATCGCAGTACCGTCATCTGCAAATGGTGCGTCACAAGCTGTCGCATTTTGTCATCACGCTGCAGAATCATCTGGTCACAAATGCTTTGGAGGGCACGTGGAAGTCTTTTACCGATGAGCTGATCACCGTCGATTCTGTTGAAGGTCTTTACCAGCGTCACGTGGAATACCTAAAGGAGATCGCCTTCTTTTCGCTGCTCAATCGTCGCAGCGCCAAGTTTCGGGAGACCATTGACAATATACTTGTGATTGCGCTACGTTTTTGCAAGTTGGTTACTATTTTAAATTTTTAAAGTAATTTTTAAATTAACTCTCGATGTTCTTCTTTTAGAATTTTGAACTCAAAGCCGTTTGTTTTGGATGATGAACAACAGTTTGTTCATCCGCGCTACAAGCGATTGGTCTATGAAGAAGCCGAGTTTGAAAAATTCATCCGTTATGCGATCTACTTGGGCAACAAGGTTGCCGCTTCCGGTTATCAAGAGAAAATAGTTGACCTAATACGCATCATAAATTATAATAACTACTACAATGTAGCTGATAGTACGAATTAAATAAAATGTTATTAGGTGTTGTCTAGCGCTTGATTAGGAATATGTTCTTCCCACCATTGCCTTAGCATAAATACTTATTTGTATATATATAATCACGATTCTTTGGCATAGTGTTAAAATTAAAACGTTGATCCACACATGTTTTAGTATTTTTTGTTTTGCAGTGAACGGTCACACTGTCACTGACTTGGACTTCTAATTATCGATAGCATTTCGATAAATAACAATATTTTGTTTACCAGCCGACTGGTGCGGCAATAAAGTTAGAGCGTGTTAGTTTATTGACTACCTGCGCTGAGAGCCCTCGAATCACGCGAACGAAGAAACCCAAAAAGAGGCAATTCGCTGACAGGCCAGCTATCAACAGGCAGCGCCTTTTTCGCGTATTTGTAATGCTTGACGATATCTCGGCATTGCATATAAGTACAGCACGCTCAACGTATAACATGGACACAACATCGGATGCTGATGCGGTAAATACCATAAATATGGGCAGTATTGAGCTACAGCTAAACAGCTCCTATATCCTTCAGTGCTCGATGTCCTCGCTGGAGAGCGAAAGTGACTTGTCGCTGGCCTTTGAACCGGGCGAACCGGCCGACTGTGATGAGCTGCCCGCTTTCGAAATACGTGCCTTCTCGCCACATGGTCGTACGCCATCTCCCATTGATGACTTAAATATGTCGGACATTGAAACGCCAAAACAGGAGCCGGCACAGCAGCGCAGTCCTGGCCGCCAGAACAACCCAGAGTTTGTGGCGTTGCATGAGATCAATGCACAGATCAGCGCGCCCAGCGACAATGCAAATGATTCAACAAGTGCCATCAGTCGTGCCAACAGTTTGGAAACTATTTTTGAGGGCGTATTTCTGCATACCCCGCCGCGTGAGAAGCTTAACAAAAGCGCTGGTTGCGGCTCCAATTCAAACTCTGCCACTCGTTTCACGCCGAAACGCAGTCGGGCTAACCTAATGGAACTGGTGGCCATGAATCGCCTGAACCTGGACGGCAAGGAAAATCAGTCGCCATGCAACCAACTACAAGATGAACCCACCTAGTTCCCATATGTAGGGTAAACCAGGCCTGAACCAAAGCCATATCTGACACATTTGTTTAGACTGTCCCTGATTTTTCTACACCTAAGATTTCGATATATGTGTAAGCTTGCACTAATGTACACTTTGTGTATCCTAAAAATATCATTTTTATATGTATTTATATTTCTGATGCTGAGTTTGAATAGTAAAACATTTGTCTTTCCATGTTTTAAACATTAAATGGCGTGTGTTTTATTTTATGAGGGGGCATTCAATTTTCATGGCTTTAGGTAGTCGAAACGTACGATTCGTATAAAATCGTTCAGGATGAGTTACCTGAGTAAAGTCCGGGAATCAAGAAGAGCCTACACTAAGATCCAAGCAGGTGCTAAGCCTCGGAAGCTATCATTAGGCAGATTATTTCCACAAATGTTTTTACCTAAACTACGAGAGACACGACCCCATACGCGACTAGCACATGTTATGCGACATACTAAAGTGTATGCTAACGAAATAATATAGTATTTAGCATCAAAATATTTTCCACTTATCATAATTACGCACATTTTAACCTGTTTTTGAGTTTTGTAAGTGATAGTGCAATTGTTTACTTATGCAACTATTTTAATAATAATTTTTGGCTTAAATTTAATATATATACAAGTCTTACATTATGTAAAGTTTTTCCTGCATATTATACATATTAGATGATATAAATATCGTTGGAAGTACTTTGAATTTTAATTTTATAAGAACTTAAGAAACTTAAAGGTAAAGCTAACTTTTTTGAAATATATTAGATACTAATTGCAAAAAAAAAAAAAAAAAAAAAACATTCAAAAGAGGGGCACATTAATTCTGTCTTTCGAAAACCCAAAAACTTAGTTTGAAAATAAAAATTTAGTATTTTGACTTCTGATTTTATGAGAATTTAAGAAACTCTAAAAGTAAAGCTCACGTATTTCAAATATATTACGGTCTTTCAAAAGCCCAAAAACTTATTTTCTCAATATTTGTAGTAAAAAAATAAAGTAAAGGAAATACGAAATGAAGATAAATATATACATACGCATATATGTATATACATTTTGAAAAACTTAATTGTTAAACATACTTAAAAGCAAATAGAAAATAGTTGTAATAATGAATAGGAGGTGCTTATTAAAAAGTGTGGGGAATGTCTTGATGAACACACAAAATAATACGAATGTAAATATCGATAGACTGTTAATTTTGTAAGAATTCTTATACAAAAAATATTAAAATGAGGTAGCGCTAAATATGATGGCTTTAAATGAATTGTGTATCCAATGTTGCTGAAAGTCATACAGCTTTATATATTGACGCTCAATGCAAATATTCAAAAGTTTTTGGAGTGACGCGACGCAGAAAAAACTTTGACACGAAGCAGACCCGGATTAACCTCTTGCCAGCTGATAAATTATTAAGAGTTATGCATTTCATATTAATCGTGTAAAAGCAAAGACACTTACCGCAAACGTCGCTCCTGTAGTCGAGCCTTCACATTTTTCTTGATGGTCGAAACACCATTTGCGCTATGTAGTCCCCGACCCGTAATGATAAAAACATGCTTATACACTCGCGTGCTGTTGCGCAGCACACTTATATGGCGATCCAGGAACAAGTCGAGACTGCTAACCGCCTCTATGGTATGCAAATAGTGTAGATCTAGCAAATCCGGATTGTTTTGCGTATGCTTGTGTACTTCCATGATGCAGTTGGCCGCACGATGATTGAATACATCGATCTTCTTCTTATGCAGCTGCGCAATCTCCGAATAGTACAGCGCCACGCTACCATTGCCCTGCTGTATCGCCTGCTTGGCTTTCAAATTGCACTCGGCTCTCAATTGGGCATGATGGGCGGCCAGATTACGTGTCTCCTCAAAGTCTCGCAATGCTGCACATTTCGCCTCCTCGTGCAATTGTGGCGATTGCAACTTGACGTTTCCTACGGAACGTGGACTGGGCGCCTTAGTTGGAGGCTGTTGCTGTTGCTCTTGTTGATTAAGCTGTTATGGAGATGTATATTGATGAGAAATTATGATTAAATATCGAATAACTATAAGCACCACTTACCTTTTCGTTTTCGCGCTGCGCCTGTTCGTAAAGCTCAGCGCTGGTTAATTCGCTCTGCACATTGCTGTCCAGTACCTCAACGGTCTTCACATAATTGTTGTCAGTAGCTTCAAAGACCTGCAGCACGGTATCGCTGGGTATTTCGGGAAATTTCTCGCACAGCTTCATTTTAGTCAAATGCGTGGCAATATCATTGGGCTTGTATTGGGTTGCCTGCTTGGCCGCCTGTTGTTCACTGTTGTAGATGCTCCAGGCCAGCTCCATATCGAGCAGCTCGTTGACGTTGCCGGGCGATTCGCTGCACTCAGCGTATTTGGGATGCTTGAGCAGACGTGCGAATTGCTCATCATCGCGCAGGGTTTGTTGACGCTGTTCTTCAACTTGATTGTGCACCGCTTCCATCCAAAGCATGTACAATTGCTTGGCCAGGCTGTACGGCACAAACACTTTTGTGGGCAACGCCTCTGGTTCTACGGGCAGCAATTCACCCTCCCACTGAAAGTTGCTGCGGAGTTGTTCAATAAAGTTTTTACCCAGATCCATTTCGAGTAGTGCATTATCCTCCGAATCATCATCGTCCTCATCAGTAGCAGCCATTGGTGCCGGCTCAACTGGGGGCAACGGTTGATCTAAACAACCATTGCGTATGTCGCGTATTTTGCGCGTATGCTCCGAGTACTGATCATCGCCCAAAACAAAACTGTTCTCAATCTGTAGCTGCAGTTCCCGGTTCGCGTAACCAAGGCCAGCGTTGCGTCTAGTGCGCGGCTGACGCTGTGGCTTAGCTTGGCTTTTATGAACAGCTGGTGTGGGTGGAGCAGCCGGCACAGCTGATGTTTGCAATTGCAACTTGTTGCTGCTACTGCTACAATCGCATCGAAATTCTTCGCTTTCCAGGGGCAACGCTTCCTCAGCATAGTCGGCGGCGTCTGCTGTGAGCTCATCCTCTTTGATTAATATATCGACTGCCCAATCCACATCACCGTTGCATTTCACATACAAATCCCAGAGGCCTACCAACTGCTTGTTCGGATATATTTGACGGAGTGCCACAAAGCCAGCCGCCTCGTTCGGGCAGTTTAAGCTGTGACGCTGCAAGGCCTTGTTGCTGGTATCTGTTGATGATGATGTGGCACCAGTTGGATTTGTCGTTTCGGTTGGTTGCTCATCTCGCAACAAATCTAACAACGAACTTTCACCTGTTGCCGCAACGCTGGCAACTGTTGCTGGCATCGGCTGGTCGTTCGTCTGCGCCCAGTAGCTGTTCACATTTTGCTCATACGGCATCCAGGTTTGAGCATTCACATTCAGCTTAAATCCATCCGATTGGGAATTTGACAGCGCACTGGAGATGTCCGATTGCAGCGCAGGTGTGGCAGGTGCCGGCAACGCTGGCAAAGGCGGCTTTGAGCGCAACTGCGGCAAGGACACCGTGTACTTTGTTTCTTTAAGCAACTGTTTAACAGAAAATAAATTATACTTGGATAATGCAAATGTGCAAAAAATTGATTTTTACCCCAATTAGCTCGGCAACGCTGGTCTTCTCGTAGCGATCCAGCATGCGTTTTATATTGTCCTTTGGCACCTGGTGGACATTCCGCTTGGCCAGCTCTGTGGCTGAATTGCGCCAGCTCGTTTGGGGCTCAAGCAGCTCCAAAAGGTAACCATGCTGCACGGCAATCTGTACATAGGGCTGCATCTCCCATACCATTATATTCGTGTTGTCCACAATGATGGGACTCCAGCCAGCGACGGCTTTGCGCTTTACCCGTTGTTTATTCCAGTCGTGAGCTTCTGGCAACAGATTCGGATTAAATTGGTATCCACGCGTCGTGAGAAAGTAATCGTCGCTGCTGTGCACAAAATCCGTAATCGAATGCTGTTCCAGCAAATGAATTTGTTGTAGCAGTGTTTTGGCCATTGTGGACTTGCCGCTGCCCGGTGGACCGCGCATAATTATCATAATCTTGTGGCCAGCTTGAGCCTTTTTACATATTTCATTATATTCCTTGGTTTGGTTGTTGTTTGTGCTGCTGGGACACATCTTTGGCATGGCCGCTGCTGCTGGCGCAATGTATTTGTTTGCGTTACAATTGTTGCTGTTGTTGTTGTTGCTCTCTTCTCTTATGGACAGTTTCTCGTTAAACCAGCGCGTCATATTTTCTGCTTGCTCAGCAGCATTTCCCGCCGAAGACATTTTTGCTGTGTTCGCAGTTTCTTTCGGTTCCTAGCGTATAGTTTTGCCTTGGCATCAAAATCGAAGGACTTGCATACATGTGCAGAATACATATATATAACTGCGCAGTTATCTTGTTTAGCAACGTTCGCAGCAACACCGCCAGTGGAGGATCCTCACAAATGTTGAAACCAAATACGAAACCTCACCTTAGTGCCTCTAGATGTGATATGTTCACCAATTTTCGATTTGTAGCTATAGTAGGCTGCGGATTTCGCATTAACTATCTTGAGAATGCTTTAATTTTATAGCTAATTTTGAGCGAATATCATAAAATAAAACAGTAAAGTTTTCCAAAAACATTGTACAATGTACATTACAGAACAACGACATGTCCGATTGTAATATCGATATGTCCACAGAACAACGACATGTCCGATTGTAGTATCGATATGTCGATATATTACTTTTTTAGACATTTGCAGCACTAATTGTTTCAGCTCGTACTAATATGCTGATTATGAATAGCGCAAGAGCACGCAAGTGCGGCTTACATGGAAGTTCAATGCACTTATTGGAAGTACAACTCTTCGGTTACGTCTTGAAAGCTTACAGATTTCTTATTACGTTCATTGCTTTTGCATGACCAGCATACCAAGCGAAGCCCTTAATTTACTATCGATACTTTTTTTGCACGCATTTATTGAAAACAGCTGCATCAGGCATTGACTGTCTCTATCCACATATTTGTGCAATTACATTTTGACTTCTAAAAGGGAAATTATTAAAAGAATCGAAAATGACCGACTGGGTTAAAATTGCTGAAGACCAAGAGGTACCGAAATTGAAAATTAACCTAAATGCAGATGAACCGGCGGCGACAACAGCAGCCAGCAAGGACAATGAACCGGATGTTGCGGACCCAGCGGAAACCAGTCTTCTTATTAAGATATTGGGAAAGGGTTT